AGCAAAAATTTATATATTTGAAAATTATGAACTTACGATATAATAAAATAGCAAAAATTTATATATTTGAAAATTATGAACTTACGAGGGGAGTCTATGAAGGCATAATTTGATGTGCTTGAACTATCGGAATCAGCCATTAGAGATGGAAATAACTTGGCAAATATTTAAAAACAGTAGCAATGAAGAGCTAAAGAAGAATAGGTAGAACCAAACTATATATAGAGGAAAATTGCACATGGCTAGATGAATATAGCAGAATTGATTTAGTACGAGGGATAAAAAATAATAATTTTGAAATAAGATGCGATATGATTTCATCCGACATTTCTTAAGGAATCTTCCCCCGTTTCTATTTGCATATCATTATTTCAGATTTCGTTTTCTCTACGAGACTAGGTAAGTTTATCATTATATCTTTACATAATGATCTATTAAAGCCAAGTTTAAGATAAATGAATATAAAATTAATTTATTTTGATTAATTATTAAATTGACCAGAATGAACATAAATTAATCATTTAATTTTCCTATATTGATCAAATTAATACTTTCAAGGCTAATAACTCTCGAGGATAAAACAAAAAGAATAATGTTATTTATCTATTGATTTAGTGAAATGACAAGTATTAAATGACATTCATTTTCAGACGGACGACGTATAAATAGAAACAAAATGAGTATTAGTTAGTTTCAAAATAATTTATCATCCCATTACATTATAATGATGAAATAAATCATATATTTTATGTATTATATATATTGTAGGATAACTAATCTCATGATATATCTTTATCTATTCTATTCCTAATACCAAGTAAGTCTTGAAGAGCGCCCATTACCAAACAACCACTCACGAATCACTTATCATAAGACATAAGTGACAATAATCTCGAAATAACATACATAATTATTTTATTATGTGTGCATTTGATATTCACAAAGTATTAATTAGTTTCGTAATTATTTATTTTACTATTTATATCATAACGATGAATTAAATCATCTCATACATATAAATAACCAATCCAATAAAATATTTTAATCCATAAAATAACTCTATTTATCTTATTTTCGTATCAAACAAGTCCTAAAGGATTACAAAAGAATCTAAAGGACAAAGAACCCTCGTGGCCATGATTTTTGATACTAATAAAAAATAACAAGAATGGTAGTTGTCATGTGGTCCAATAAAGGGGGTAGTTGGGAAGTTATTTTTCACCAATACAACTTTTTGTAGTAGGTATTGTCAAGAAAGTTTCTCTATTAATTAATTACCACTCAAAATTATAAGGTAAAAACTTATTGAGTATTTTACAAAACTATTTCTTTTGGGAAAAGGTTGGATTTATCCTTGTAATTATATAAACTAGAGGGACTGATTAAAGAAAAAATTAGAATAGATTTGATTGCGATCTGAGATAAATTTTTTCTTTATGTAATTAGAACTGTTTAATATTTGAAAAAAAAGTCTAACAACGACTCAACGAGAAGAGGTATCAAAGGATAGTAAGGTTAGGTCGGGTCCAAGTTATCAATAGGGTTTATATGGGGGTATGGCTCGGGTTGGGTCGAATTTTATTGTCATGTGGATTGAGAAATTAAAAGAAAAAATATATTCTGACTAAATATAATTTCATGCCATATTTTGTTAACCAAATGAATGTTAATAGTAAATTTTGAACGGAAATAGCCAAAATTAGTGACCTTGTTATCCAAAAAATTTGTTTGTTATACTATTAGTAATAGTTGAGCTATCTTTTAAATTATTATCTTCATATTTAACGTATAATCAATTATAAAAAATGAGCATTTAGTCCCTTTATATAGAAAATATATTATATTAAAATTATTTTAGAAGCAAATTACCCTCAGAATTTAGATAGTGAAGAGTAGCTAAATAGCTAAATATATTAACTTCATTGTACATTTATTTTTTTATATTTTAAATTCGTTTAATGAAAATACTGATTCTAACCTTACGAGAGATATGATACAATTGCAAGAAATTAAAATTTATCAGGACTTTCAACTTTTACCTAAGCTCTCCAATTTTAATCAATAATTGTCTGGAGGACCGGGTGTCATTACGAAAAATTAAAATCGAATAGTTAAATATCAAGCCAAAAAATCAAATGCTCACTCCTAATTAACGATTCAAAAAATGGCTATTTGTTCAATTTTTCGAAATTGGCTAACTTGAAAAACATCTAAATAGACTGGACTTTATGTAGAAGTCAGGCCCAAAGGTTTAGTTGCTCACAGTTGAGCCCAAATTGAATCCAGCACAAGTTATATTATTTCTCTCAAAACCTACTCGGCATCGTAAAGAGGTCTGGATCATTCTACGTTCGAAAAATATGTTACTTACATTTCTCGCATCAACAAAAAAAATTTAAAACAAACGAAATTATACTCACAATCTTAATAACGAAAGTATTTTGTGATTGCGTTTTCTTGGGACATATTTACATCAATAAACAAAACATCTTTGTTTGATGCTCATTATCAATAAAATAAAATCATCAATATGAATAAGTACAAACAAAGGGGAGTTAGATCTTACCTTATAAATTCTAATGAGATAAATTTATTGAAACCTCAAACAAATCAAGTCAGGATCGTTTGGTAAAGTGTATAAAAAAATGCTAAATAGAGGGTATTATTATTTATTAATGTTTGTATTAGTTATGCTTACATCAATTATACATAGATCATTTCTTATGCATTATTTAATTTGGTGTATTACAATTGCATCCATTGCATAAAAATATTTATTTACCAAATATCCTTCACAATTATGATGAAAAAAAATGAAAAAAAGATTTTTGGCGATAATTATTGGATCTTTAATTAATGATAACTAATACCTAAAAATCCGTGATATTAATAATACATACCTTAATTTACAATAGAGTAAATAACTAATATTTATATTAGTTATGCATATAAAAGTAAACCAAATAAAATATAAAAATATTTATTTACCAAATATCCTTCATATTTATGATGAAAAAAAAGTAAAATTTTTTTTTAGCAATAATTGAATTTTTGTTTAATGCATAACTATTATTTAAAAAATCGTGATATTAATAATACAGACCTTAATTTACAAAAAGTAAATAACTAATATTTATATTAATTATGCATATAAAAAGTAAACCAAAGAAAATATTAATATACAGAACTAATGTATACATTATTTTTCCAAACTACTTTCTAAATACTCTAACATATTTAATTTGTTTTTCCATGTCTGAATTAATTAATAGTGATAAGCAGAGTCCAACAGCAAGTTGGTTTTGTGAGTCGATCAATACAAATTATATATACATATAAAATGGACTTTTTTTTTTAATTTATATATATTACTACCAAATTCAACAAAATAATATATATTTTGTAACTATTCCAAAGAAAAGGACTTGAAAAAAAGAATTTTATTTTTCTAGTGCCGACACAAATATAAAAGTGATACAAATTAATCTATAGAAACATGCCGTTATCTTTATTTATTAACTCACTTGATTTTAATTTCTCTAATTTACTCAACAAATTTTTTATCAAAATATTTTTGAATATATCTTTTTATGTTTGATATGTTATTTTTTAGTCATACTAATAAAAAAAATTAAGCTTATAAAAATTGAATGAACTGAGTTATGATTTTTATATTTAGTCCATCTTAATCTAGCTCATTTCAGCTTAAGTAACATGTGGCTAAGCCAATATATAACCCGTCAACTTATTAATACGATTAATCTTTTTCATTTCAAGAGTGACCAAAACATATCAACTTCACAACATTAGCATACATTTACTAAAAATAAATATTAGTGACAAACAAATTTTATAATTGAACAACAAAATCATTTGCTAATTAATTAGGGGCGGAGCAATAATAACAATAACAATAATAGATTCAACAAAATTAAGTAATTTAGAGTTAAACTTTTAATTTGATTTGTGTTACAATATGTTACCTATCCAAAACTCAGTAAGCTAATCAAATCATGATCCAAAAATTCATAAATTAAAATTTTAACTATGCCTCTTATCAACATCAAATTGATAAAAAAATTAACCACATCTATTTCATAGAAAGCTTAGTCCTCTTATGTTTTTATTGAGGGTTGTTTGGCAGTCCATTGCATGTATTAAAAAAAATTACATTAAAAATTTCTTTGCATGGGTGGTGCTAACTGCCAAATATTAAAATCAATTTTAATTTAGATGGCTTGGTATGAATTAAAAAATATTTTCTAATTTTTCATGTTTGATTAGTTAATATATATTGTTCTGAGTTTATTGTCTCTCTCCATCCATTTAACGACCTCAACCCCCAAACCTTTGTCGCACTAAGAGATATTTATTGACAATAAAGTTATAATTATAATTTTTTGTAAAAGTATTAGCGGCAATTAAGTTAATGCAGTTATTGCATCCTCGAGTCACTGAGGCTTTTAACAACATTTATATATATAGATCTAATGTTTGCTATAAATACCCATGTTATGTTATCGTTGGACATAATATATAGATCGATAATTACTTAACTGTCGTTAAATAATTGATGCAAAATCCTTAGTTTGTTATAGTGTGACGATCCTACCTGTTGTCCAGTGACGGAGTTAAGATTTTAATAAGGAAATTCAATATTTGAAGAACTAAACACATGAACTAATCGAAGGGGGTTCGACATCTATTATATACACATAAAAAATAATTTTAGTCATATATACATAATAATACTTTCCAATAAAGGGGGTTCATATGAACCCTGTCAACTGTCGTCACCCTTGAACCCCTACTCTCCACCACATAGAGTTATGTTAGGTTATACCAGTAAGTAACTCACTTATTTTCTAGAAAAATATTTTCCTTCGTATCAAACACGAACCTTAAAATAATACCAGCTTACATAACCAAAAAAGTGACATGTCACCAAATATCTTTCCAATTTAAATAGCATACATTTATGCCCCTAATTAATCATCACTTTAGACAAGCAAATTAAGAAAGCTTAATTAATTTCTTCATCTTTTTTCCTTTTTTTTTCAAATGGCAACTCTAAATTTATTTTCTGTTTTCATAATTTATTTTGCAATTGTATTGAGATTTGTTAATTCACAAGGCCTTGAAGTAGGGTTCTACAAGAAAACATGTCCAAATGTTGAAAAAATTGTGAAAAAGGCTGTTGTTGACTATGTTTCTATTGCTCCTACTTTGGCTGCTCCTCTGTTGAGAATGCATTTTCATGATTGTTTTGTTAGGGTAAGCAAAAATATTTACTATACTATATGGTTTTGAATTTAATATATTGTGATAATGTCATATATTTAACATGTTATAACATGTTACTTAAGTAAGTATAAAAAAGCAACAATAATCACATTTCAATTACAAACAAGTTGAATTCAGCTATATATTTCATACCAGTTTTTGAAGTTCTCTATATTTTCTAGAATCCCAAGGGTTTAAATTAATTTTTATTTTTTGTGACAGGGATGTGATGGTTCAGTGTTACTTAATTCTACTAAAAGTAATCAAGCTGAGAAAGATGCAATTGCAAACCTAAGTCTAAGAGGATTCCAAGTGATTGATGCTGCTAAATCTGCTTTAGAAAAACAATGTCTTGGCGTTGTATCTTGTGCTGATATTTTAGCCTTAGTAGCTCGTGATGCTGTTTCACTGGTAAATAATTATTTTCTTCGTTTTAGTTTAGTTATCTGATTTTAACTTGACATAACGTTTAAGAAAATATAAATGACTATTAAATCTTGTGGTTTTAAATGAAAGATATGTAAAATGTAAAAATGCTCTTTATTTTCGTAAATTTATACTTATCGCGTGAAAAGTCCAAATTAAAGAATTATCAAATAAAGTTTCTGCATAATTAGTTTTTCTTTGAACATGTTAATTATGGTTTTTTTTTTTGGGCAGATTAATGGACCAACATGGCAAGTACCATTGGGAAGAAGAGATGGGAGAGTTTCAATTCTTTCAGAAGCCACAACAAATTTACCAACTCCTTTTGATAATTTCACTACTCTAAAAACAAGATTTGGTTCATTAGGTCTAAGTGTAAAAGACCTAGTTGTTTTATCAGGTAAAAATTATAATTTCATTATGATAAAAGGAAACTTGCAAAAATCGTATTAGTTTCAGAGCTAATTAGTTAATTAATTAGATATACTTTAGTTTGCAATATTACTAATCTTATCAGATTTTGGTGTATTTAGATACATATATTCGAAATACACGAGTCAAAGTTATGTTTAATTTGTTCTAGATACACTATCCAAGTGGATTCCCGTGTATCTGAATACACAACAAATCTCTCTCACCTCCCTCGCCTCCCTCTCATCTCGCTCTCTACTCTCTTATGTATCCTAGATATATGCGAATAACAACAGTTACGTACACATACATGTATCCGGGATACATGACTATTTCACTCGCCTCTCTCTATATTTTAGTGTATCTGATAGCAAAAATATATGTACTTAGGTGTATCTTCCTCAATATATGATTAAAAAAACTCTTCATTAGTGATAAGATACGTTACTATTTAAAAGTATATAGTACAAATGCATGTTTTATATGGTAGTTTGCTATGTTAAATTTGAACAGTTACACCACACTTGCAATAAATGAAAGGTTATAGATCCATATTCTTTAACTAGAATTTGCTTATAACTAAGAGACTGAACATTCTACTAACCCTATTTTCTTTAGTTATTTTTTCATCCTAACTTATTTTTCATATTAAAGGTGGACACACGCTTGGAGTATCACATTGCTTTTCGTTTGGTAGCCGTATGTACAATTTTACTGGTAAAGGTGATATGGACCCAAACATGGACCAAAAATATATAGCCCAATTGAAGACTAAATGTAAGCCCAATGATGTGACAACCACAGTTGAAATGGACCCTGGAAGTTTCAAAACATTTGACACTGATTATTACAATTTGGTTAGCAAAAGAAGAGGCCTTTTTGTATCTGATGCAACACTTCTCACAAATAAACAAACAAAAGATTATGTTTTGGCACAATTAAGTTCGAGGGGATCAACTTTTTTTGAGGATTTTGGGGTGTCAATGGTGAATATGGGAAAAATTGGAGTCCTTACTGATAAATCGGGCGAAATTAGAAAAAAGTGTGCTTTTATAAACTAAGAGGAATAATTTTGTGAAGTTATTTCTCTATCGTCATTTTTTGTATCGTTTTCTTTTCCTAATCAATTCACCAAGAATGTATCTTTGTGGTGGTAAATGTACCTTTGTTGTAATTTACTAGTTTGTTAAGTTTAATTCTACTAGCATGAATGGTCAAAATGTCATATTGTACTTTATTTAAACAGAAGATATCAAGATCCTTTGACCTTGACGAGTTTATCGTAGGTATTTTTTTACAAAATCGAGCTACCTAGCAAATCAATAGAACGATCACAAACACGACTAAAAAGTGGTTATTTATGAATTTATCTCATGCTAGCTGCGCGCTTTTTTTAACCTTTTTTGAAATTAAAAAAAAACAGTTTGATACACTAAAAATAAAAAGAACAAAATGAGAATGCATGCTAGTGAGACCAAAACAATATCTTTTTATTTTGTTACATGCTTATGAATCAAAAACATACAATTTACACTACACAACGAGGACATGGAAAAAAAGATTATTCAATTGAACATAAACAATACGAAAAATGACTAAAATCAAAG